TTGCGGGGAGCTTTAGGACCCAGCGAGTGACAAGTCTGGAGCGGCACTGGCGCAGAGTGGCTCCATCGGCAGCGCTGGAATTCTCTGTATCCCTCCCTCGGAGCATCCTCGCCCAGAAAAGGGCTTCCCTCCCCTCTTGTACCGCCCGGCAGAGCCTCGGGGGAGGGGAGGGGGGCTCGGGGATGCTGGGATCAGCCGGGACGCTGGGAAGAGCCGCTGGATGCTGCCGGCCGTGAGCTGGGAGAGAGCTGCTGGCTGCAAATCGGGAATCTCTGGAGCGCGGCAGCATGGCCCAGGGCAGGAGGCACGCGTCCGGCCGGGTAAGGGGTGTGGGGGGGGGGAGGCTGACTCGACAGCTCCTGTCGCGACAGATAGCCACGCTGTCGCAGCGAAAATAGCTGGGTTTTGTAGGGAAAGCTCGATTGTGCTCCCGTATCCCTGGAATGTGGCTGGCACCTCTCTCGCTGACAATAATGCCGGGAGGGGAGATGGATGCTCCGGTTTGCACCAGGGCCGGGTCTTTTGGCCGGAGTTACCTGCCCGTGTAGGTGATTATCCTAATTAATTACTGCTGTTAATTACCCCGGCTCCGGCTCAGCCCCTTCCCGGGGCTCTGGCACAGCCTTGCCGGGGCTGCTCAGCACAAAGATCCCGGCGTGTTTTCATCCCCTCCCTCCGGGTGGCACCGAGCGATGCTGAGCTTCCTTCCGCGGGCCTGGCAAGCGCTTCCAGGTTTTTCCGTATTGCAGCTGCCCCTGGGCTGTGCTGTGCGGTGCCAGCGGCCCCCCCCGAACCCGGGCCAGGCCTTTCCCGGGAGTTTCTCTCGCTGTCGCCGTGTCCCTGTGTGGCCACCGCGGTGACATTGTGTCCTGGGCACTGCCAGCGCGTTTGGGCCTGGCTGTGCCAACTTGGCAGCGACTCCAGGATGGAGCTGGGGAGGGCAGACCCTTCTCACCTCTCCATGGGACCCCCAGACCCCTCTGTGGGCACCGTGTGCTGTCTGCTGTGGGGTACACCAGGCCCGGAGCTGGTGGGATTTGGGCTGTGGCCAAAGGGATTTGGCTGCAGAGGGAGCAGCTCGGGAAAACTTCCCAGCCTGGAACCTTTTTTGCCCACCCTAGCAGGGTCTGAGTGTGTGTCTGGGCAGGTCTGTGGGGGCTGGAGCCTCACACTTGCCCCTTAAACCTCTTTGTTTTCCATGAGGGAGCAGGAAGGAGGGGTTGGAATTCCAACCTGAGTCCTGACAGCTCTGTCGTGACAGCCTGAGGGGATTTGGGGGCTCCAAGGGGGTGGGGGAGCAGGAAAGGCTCCAAGGGCTGATGGAGCTGGGGATCCTGGAGGTCCCAGGAATTCTGGGGGTCTCAGGACAGCACTGTGAGTAGATTATCCCTGTTTGGCTCACATGGATTTTGGAATGGCCACTACAGGGACCACGGCTGTACTGGCCCTTCCTGGGGCTGGTCACCCACACCGTGTCCCTTCTGGGTTTTGGGGACACTGCTCCTGGTGTCCAGAGACACCCACACCCTCCCAGTTTGTCAGCCTGGAATCCAGTGCCACCATGGTGGTGAGGACTTCATCCCAGTGTCACATCCTGGTGTCACCCACGGCAGCCACCCTCAATCCCAGGGTGATCCTGACTCGGTGCTGACCAGGCTTAAACCCGGAATTCTTCCCAAGTCTTTCCCTCTTCCAGCTTTGTGGGCCGTGCCTGGAATTTGGATCTTGTCAGAGCTGGTTGCTCGGGATTCTCCCAAAACTTTTTTGATCTGAGCTTTGAGTGGCAGTTTGAGGCTCCATCAATCTCACCTGCGTGGGGGAGGTGCTCCTGGAGGAATACACTGAATATTCCCGGGGTGATCTGCTGGCATGGAGCAGAACTGAAGCCCTCAGGTTCAGGTGGAGCACAGGGATGACCCAAATCGCTGGGAATTCATCCTGTTTTCAGTGCCTTGCCTTCACAGAGCAGACAGGCTGTGGATGTTTATCATGCTTCAAAAAAGGGTGGAAAATGGGAAAATGGTGATTTTCAGAGCAGGAGGTTGTGGGGAGCAGTCTCTGGTGGTGGTGGCAGCACAACCACATCTTGTCCCTCACCTGGTGTCCCTGGAGCAAGATGGGAGCTCTGGGATGTGGAACAGGCTCCTCCTGGGCTGGTGGCTGCTCCAGAGGTTCAGCATTCCTGGTTGTTCCTCTGGCTGCCCCATTCCCAGCACTGCCCCGTGCCCTGCTCAGTTCTCCCACTGCCTTCACTGTGAATCCCTGGATTCCCCATTTACTGGGATTTAGGAGTTTATTCCCCTTCCAGGCTGTCACTGTGAGTGGCCTCAGCCCTTCTCTCTTCCCATGTGGCTTCCCACAGTTCTGCTCCTCCATCCTCTTCCATTCCCAGGACTGAGGGGATCCACGAGGAGCTGGCCTGGGAAGCTGAGGAAATTCTGGGTTGTGTCACCAGCTGTTGTGGCATGGTGTCCCCAAGGATGATTGTCCCCATGATTGTCACCACGGCCAGGAGGTGTGACCACAGGTGTGTCCACCTCTCCTGGGATGGCCACTGGATCCCCAGCCATGGTCACCTGGCTGGGACATTGGAATGCCCACCCCACCTGCTTCCAGCTGGGACAGTCCTTCCTCTTGTAAAACCTGGATTAATCAATTAATTGGTTTGAGTGTTCATGGAAATTCCAGTTGGGGGTTTTTATCCATTGGATTGGAGCTTCCAGGTGTCCCACAGACCAATTTCTGATTAATTGGAAACAGAAGGTGGAGACTCAGTGCCTGGTCCTGAGGGATGGGATGGGATGGGATAGATTCATTCTGAGCTCTCCTTTTTTTTCCAAGTGTGAAAGTCTTGGGAAAAGTTTCTGTAAAATTAGTGCTGGTTGGCAAATGTCCATCAGGAACAGACTGGGAGAGCTGGGAATGTTCCCCTGGAGAAGAGGAGGCTCCAGGGAGAGCTCAGAGCCCCTTGCAGAGCCTAAAGGGGCTCCAGGAGAGCTGGAGAGGGGCTGGGGACAAGGGATGGAGGGACAGGACACAGGGAATGGCTCCCACTGCCAGAGGTACCCCCAGGGCTTGGAATGTGTCACATCCAACAGATCTTACCTGGCTGCAGGTGCCAAATGGACAGCAGGAGGGATAAAAACTCCTCTCCAGGAACCTTCCCATTTACTGGGGATTTGGGATTTTCCTTTAGGCTTCTTATTTTCTTTGGGCTCTGCTCTCCTTTTCTGTAACACCTGAGACACGATATTCCAGGAGGTTGCTCCCAGAACTTTGGGAGATATTTGGATCTGGAGCATCAATATTTCCTTTGAGGTCTTGGGTTTCTTAGGTGTTTGATGGATTTTGGGTCTTAATATAAGATTATTTTGTGGTGTTTGATTTCTGTCGGTTGTGTTTGGATGAAACCTGGAATTCAGGATTGTGGGAAAACCTGAATCCCTGGTTTTAGTCACAAAACCCCAAACTCAGTGGGTTCACTCTGCATTCTGGCCTCAGGAAGTGATGTGCAAGGGAAGGGGGTGGTTTGTTAGGATTCCAGGAGCTTCCAAAGTCCCCTGGGTTCTTCCACAGGCTGAGGATTCCCTGAATCTCCCAAACCCCCTTGAGGGGGTTGAGATTTGTCCACAGGGCCTTCCCAGCACTTCTGGGTGAAAGAAGCTCTGTTTTCCTGGGATAAAGAGCAGATTCTTTGGCTGAAGGCAGGCCCAGAGCAACCAAAATTCCACATTTCTGCACAATGACTAGAACCAGTGACACATGGGGTGGGGGAAATGCCAAACTGATCCTGTTTTGGGGCTTGCTGGGAGGTTGGGATGAGTGGGAAGATGGAGCAGGGAACATCCCTGTCCCCTCTGGGATAGAGGCAGTGAGGCTGAAAGGTGTGAGGTGTTTTGGGCATCTCCAGAAGATCTGGAGAGGGGCTTTGGACATGGGATTGGATTCCCACTGGAAAAGGAGAGATTGTGGTAGGATATTGAGAAGGAATTCCTGGCTGGGAGGGTGGGGAGGGGTTGGACTCGAATTCACAGATTTGCTGTGGCTGCCCCTGGATCCCTGGAAGTGTCCAAAGCCAGGTTGGACAGGGCTTGGAGCAATTTGGGACAGTGGAAGTGTCCCTGCCCATGGCACAGGATGGGCTTTAAGGTCCTTTCCCACCCAAACCTTTCCATAATTCCATGATTAATCTGTTTTACTCAGGCTGATTGCAGAGCAGGGGGCATTGGGGATGGATCCCAACAAATTTCCCTGGGGTTTCAATAGTCTTGAGGGTCCCCACTACCCATGGAGTTCCTCACATCCATCACCTCATAGCTGCTCCAAGAGCATTGACCACCTGGATAACCTCACCTGAACGCAGGTGCATCCCGGGATGTCACACTTGGAGTGCCCCGGTGCCTGCTGAAATAAAAATATGGATGTAATGTTTATGACAGGACCATGGAATCATGGAATTGTCGAGGTTTTAAATCCCTCCAGGGGTGGGGACCTGGAAAATTCCTAGGAGGAATTTTCCCAGTATCCAGTGTAAACCTCCCCTGGCACAACCTGAGGCAGTGGACAATGACAATCCCACCTGGAAAGCTGCTGGACTTTCCCACCCACATTCCAAGGAGTTTGGGCTCAGAGACCACCAGGTCCCAGCAGTGTGAAGGGATGGGACAATGACCTGTGTCCCAAGCAGCCTGTCTGCTCCTGGGCACAGAATTAAACCATGGGAATGCTGATCAAATGGGAAAAGATGGAGCACGAGTTGGTTAAGACTGACCAACTGTGCTGTTCTTGTGGGTTTTTTTCCCCCCCTCAAGGCTTATAAAAATGTTATAAAAGGGGATAAATCAGCTGTGTGACCCATGGATGTGCCATGGTTTGTGGCTCCTGTTCAGGAGCAGGAATCACCCAAAATAAAAAGGGTCGGAGATGAACCATTCCAATATCCAACCCTTGTGTCCATCCCACCTTTCTGAGCGCTGCTCTCCCCTGTTCCCCAGGCCTCCAGCACGCCCAGGATGAGCGCTGACGGCGGCAGCAAGCCCCTCAAGGTGGGCTCCCGTGTGGAGGTCATCGGCAAGGGCCACCGAGGCACCGTGGCCTACGTGGGGGCCACCCTGTTCGCCACCGGCAAATGGGTCGGGGTCATCCTGGACGAGGCCAAGGGCAAGAACGATGGCACGGTGCAGGGCAGGAAATACTTCACCTGCGAGGAGAACCACGGCATCTTCGTCAGGCAGTCCCAGGTGGGTGGGATCCCAGCGTTCTGGGATCCTCGGGATCGTGGCTCGGTTGTTAAATACAGGGAAACAGCCCTGGGGGTTTTGGGAATGTTTGTTTCCCACGGGCTCCAAACCCAGGTGGAATCTCAGCCTCTGCACAGTCCTTGAGGTTTTGGAATGAAAACAGCATGGTGAATTCCCAGTTGTTCCATTCTGCTTCCCAGTGAAGTGCCCAGCCCTGTATTTACCACCTGCAGCAGGTGGAGTTTGGGATGGATCCCCCCGGTGGAGTTTGGGATGGATCCCCAGATTGATCTCAGATGTTTACCTGGCAGCAGATCCAAGGAATTTTAATTCAATCATGTTTACCTGCAAGGAGGTAAAGCACACGGTGTGGGTGCAGCTGCTGAGATTTGCTGCTCGTGTGCTGCAGCAGGAGCCCCCTCCAGAGCAAACGTTCTCCAGGTTAATTCATTGTGTCACCTTCCAAGGGCAGAGAGGTGACACCAGAGGGCCCCAGCCAGCTTCTGTCCCCTCCCTGACACAAAAGGGCTGGTCTGTGTCCCACCCCATGGCCTCTCCTTGCCAGGACCTTGGGACTGGGGGATAGAGGGAAGCTAAGCACAAAATGAGGGCATTTGGGTCCTGGGATCCATCCCAGCATCCACTGTCCCATCCATTGGAAGGGCCTTTGGATCGTGCACAGTCAGAGGCTGTGGCTCATCCAGGAGATATTCCAAGAATCACTGAGGTTGGGAAACACCTTTAAGAGGAGTCCAGCCATTCACTTCTTCAGTCCCTTTGTCACCAGTTTGAGGCAGGATGAGGGAAAATGATCCCCATCCATTAAATAATAGGATAAACACAGGGAGCTGAACCCACCAGAGCTGGAGGCAAGGCAAACTCCCCAGGAAGCTTTTCATGGTTTTATCCAACTCAAATGCTGTTGGTGTGTAGGAATTGCTGGATGGAGCTCTGCTCCTCTCCTGGGATCACCATGGAGATTTTCCAAATGTAATTCTGCCACGCTCCCAGTTCCCCACATTAAAACTGGACACACGCACCCGGCTCCTTTGTCCATCTCTCTTGGCCCCTCCTGCCAGCTGGGAGAGGCTTTGAGGGGTTGACAGGGAAACTGTTGGGTCTGCAGGACCGGGAGGGACCTCAAAGTCCCCCCAGTGCCACCCCCTGACAGTCAGGGACACCTTCCACTGTCCCAGGCTGCTCCGAGCCCTGTCCAATCCAACGTGGCCTTGGGCACTGCCAGGGATCCAGGGGCAGCCACAGCAAATCTGGGAATTTCATTCAAGCCAGGAATTCCTTTCCAAAAATCCCAGCCCAATCTCCCCTTTCCCAGCGGGAATCCATTCCCCTTTTTTGTCACCTCGGCCTCTGGGCTGGGTGTGCAGCGAGTGATGCTCAACCCCCACCCCAAAATTCCAGAGCTGGGGAATGGATGGGGACACACCTGGAGCAGAGATGGGAAGTGGGACAGGTAAACAGCCCCCAAATCCCCCAAATCCCCTAAATCCTCCATCCCAGAGCAAAGCTGTGGATGCAGGGCTGTCCCAGCAGGTCCAGACCTGATCCCGAACCATCCTGGGGCACAGGGAGGGTCCCCAGTGTCCCCCAGCTCCCACCTGGGGGGCACAGAGCGGGGACCCCACCCCTGGCACCCCTCGAGAGGGGCAGAGGGTGCTGGGCTGGAATTCCCAGAGGCTCTGGATGGGGCTGGATGCATCCCCCATCCCTGGCAGTGCCCAAGGTGAGCTGGGATGGGACATGGAGCAACCTGGCACAGTGGGAGGTGTCCCTGTTCATGGCACTGGGTGACACTGGGTAGGATTGAAGGTTCTTTTCCACCCAAAGATTCCCTGATTCTAACCGGGCTGGCAATTCCAGGCATGGCTCTTCCTTTTCTGGTGAGTGGAAATCCCTGATTTTGGCATCACCTGGAGCTGCCTTTCAGCTCCTGCTGGCAGAGGAGCTCAATGGTCACCATGTCCCCAGTCTGTGGTGGCAGTTCCCAGTGTCACTCTGGATCCAGCCCTGCTCTGTCCCTGTCCCCTGCCTCTCCAACACCTCTGGAATTCCCTCTTAGGCTGTACCTGCTGGGAAACCCTCAGACCACTCAGAATTCCCACCCTGCATGGCTGCAGGTGTCATGATTTCCTTGGCATCATCTTTTCCTTGGTCTCTTTGTGGCTTTTAATTCAATTTTCATCATTCCTGGTGTGGGGAATCTTCCCAAAATGGAATTCCTGTCTGACAGCTTCCCAGGTTATTTTGATTTTTAAGTTGAACTCGAAGGTGGGAGGTGGTGATAGATCAGGAAAATTCCTGCAGGAACAATTTTGGAGGTGTTGATCTGAAGCACAAGGATAGTTCTCTCTCAGGGTTCTAAGCCTTCCCAACCTCATTTTCCATGTTTATCCAGCAAAAATGCATCCAAAAATAGTTCACCCAGAGAAATCCCTGAATCTAGTACAGATGTTCCAGGCTGTAAAATCCAGAGCTTTGATTTTCCTCATTGCCTGTGTGAATATTCCGTGCTCCCAATGGGAATAAGGAACGTGTGGTTGTTTTTCAGGAAGGTTGATGGCAAAGCCAGAACGATGAAATTAAAAATCTGTGCCAAAACCATGGGATCTGCTCTGCAGAACCCATTCCCAGATGGATCTATTCCCTGGTCTCCCTGTTTGGGAATTTTGGGCAAGGATGGTTGTTGTGTTTTTTCTAGATCCAAGTGTTTGAGGATGGAGCTGACACAACATCCCCAGAAACCCCGGAATCTGCTGCCATGAAGGTCCCTAAGAGAGGTATGGCCCAGCTGGGAAATCCTTCCCAGAGAGGTGGAAATCCTTAGTGGAGGGGATGGGAAATTATTTCTGAAAGGGATGGGGAATCCCTCCTGGACGGGTGGGAATCATTCCTGAAGAAATGTGAAATTTCTCTTGGATGGGTTGGGAATCCTTTCTGGAGAGATGGGGAATCCCTCCTGCAGAGGTGGGAAGTCCTTCCCAGGTGAGATGAGAAATCCTTCTTGGAGAGAAGGAGGAAATCTGTCTTGGAGGAGTGGGAATCCTTCCTGCAGAGATGGGAAATCCTTGAGAGACAGAAAATCTCTCTTGAAGCGGTTGGGAATCCTTCCTACAAAGGTGGAAAATCCTTCCTGTAAGGAAGGGGGAAATCCTGGACTATTTCCCAGTGGGAATGCAGAACCACTGAACCACTCTAAGCCTATGGAATTGTAAAATCCCTATGGAATTGGAGCATCCCTGTCTCCAGCCCCTTGCCGTGCCCCATTCCCACCCGGGGACAGGGATCCCTTCCCTCTCTCCTCTGAGCATTCCTTCCCCGTTTCCCACATCCCTCAGCCCCGCCATCCCTGGCTGTGTGCCCAGACAGGCTTCCCTCCCTCCCTCTGAGCTCTGCTTTGTCGGGAATGTTTTCCCCAGGCTCTGTGGGATCCCGGGAGCTGCCGGAAGGGGCTCTGCCAGTTTCCTGCCTTGGCTGCTCCGGCGGCTCCGTGTGCCAAGCCGGGAGCTCCGCGTGGGAAGCGTTTGTGGGATGGGGATTGACGGAGGGGGGTGGGCTGAGGGAGGTGGGTGTTGGTTGTGGGTGGGATTTCTCCTCTGCCGGGAAGTAGGAGGTAAAATTAGTTGTGAAAAAGGGAATGGACCCTTCCCTGTTCTCTGCTTTGGATGCTGCAGCTGGCGTAGAATTGTGGAATAGTCATGGATTCATTTAGGCTGGAAAAGCCCTCGGACACCCCCGACAGTGTCCGTGTCCCCAAGTGCCACATCCACAGGGCTGGTAAATCCCCCCAGGGATGGGGACTCCACCCCTGCCTTTCCAAGAAGGAATTTTCCCAATATCCCATCTGGCACAGCTTGAGGCTGTTCCTTCTCCTCCTGTCCTTGTTCCCTGGGACCAGATCCCAATTCCCACCTGGCTCCAGGAATTCAAGGACTTTTGGAGAGTCAGAAGTTCCCCCCTTGAGCCTCCCTTTCCCAGCTCTCTGAGCTGCTCCTGGTGCTCCAGCCCCTTCCCAAATCCTTCCCTGGACACGATGGACGCTGGGTTGGGACAAACCAACCAAGGAGGAGCAGGAGGAGCCCGGGCTGCAGGTGGGGTGTGGGATGATGCTGTCAGGGATGCAGGGCTGGGATGTGGCTGCCTGCCAAGCGTTTCCATGGAAACAGCAGCTGCTGCAGCAGCACTGCAGTCTGGGGTGCAGGGATGGCTCTGTCACGGATCCAGCACAGGATGGGACACTCTGGGGGAGCTGCTGGTGACACAGGACACCTGGGCGAGGATGGGAAAGAGGGACAGGACACAGGGAATGACTTCCCACTGGAAATGAGGAGATTGGAGTGGGATTTTGGGAAGGAATTCCTTCCTGTGAGGGTGGGGAGGCCCTGGCACAGGGTGTCCAGAGAAGCTGTGGCTGCCCCTGGATCCTTGGAAGTGTCCCTGGAGCAACCTGGGACAGTGGAAGGTGTCCCTGCCCATGGCACGAGGTGGGGTTGATGGGATTTAAGACCCCTTGCCACCCAAACCATTCCATTTTTCTGTGTCCCCAAGTGCCACAATCACATGGGTTTCAACCCCCTCTGCCACTTCCTGAGCAGCCTGTGCCAGGACCTTGGGAATCCGTGAAATCCAGGGATTCAGCCCCAGGAGAGCAGTGGAACTGCCCCAGTTCTGAGGTGTATCCAAGTGTTTGCCTTCCTCATTCAGCAGCTCCTAGAAGGAATTCCCTGTTCCCCCAAACCCACACCCTGTTGTGCCACCATTTCCTGACTCTGCTTCACTCCCACTTCCCAAAATTCTCCTGCCCCCCTGCTGGGTGCCCTCTGGCTGCAAGGACCCTGGGATGGGGACAGGGATGTCCCTCAGGCTCATGGCTCTGTTTCTGCTCTCTCCACAGATTCCCTTGATGCCACCAAGGCCAGCAAACTGGTGAGTGACCTCAGCACTTTGTCACCTCTGAGAGGTTTTCATCCCTTTGGGAAGAGCACGCAGACACACTTCCATGGAATAAAATGCCCATGGAAAAGCGAATTTCTCCTGAAACCCATAGGAAACAAGGTGTCAAAGTAATTTTCAGCCACTGGCCAGGAATCAGTTGTTTCCTGAGGGATTATCCAGTGCAGGTGCTGTGTCACACATTTTCATTTGAGTTCAGCAGCATTCCCTGGCTGCTTCCTTCAAACCCTGACCCTCATGGAATCCTGGAAAGGACCTCAAAGCCCCTCAGCTTTCCACCTTCCATTATCCCAGGTTGCTCCAAGCTGGCCTTGGACACTTCAGGGATCCAGGGGCAGCTCTAAGGTCCCTCCCCTCTGAGTGTCTTCATCCAGGAGCTCCCGTGGTTCCTGGGATATGGATAGGGACGTGTTGTACCCAAATGTGAGGGCTATTTCCTAAGGAATGGGAATCTGGAGTGGGTTCCTGTCCTCAGGAATGGCCATACAGGTGTGAGCTAGTGAGGAATCATGGAATACTGAGGCTGGAAAAACTCTCTGAGCCCATCAAGCCCAGCTGTTCCCCCAGCACTGGCCAGGTCACCAGTCCTGGGGGCCAGGGATGGAACTGGGTGATCCTGGGGACACAGTGGGTGGGTTTGTGTGTTTTGGGGTAGAAACTGGATTTTCCATGGGGATAATCTGGCCCAATTGAGATGTGGGCAGTGTGGGATAGGAAATGGTGGGGACAGGGGTTTCTGTGCATGTGGCACCTGTGGGGCTGGATTGGGGAGCATTGGAGCTCAGCTTCCTGTGCTGCCATTCTGGATAATTCCCAGGAGTGGGAATTCTGCTGCCCACCCTGCTGTGGGGTTGGATGCTGGGATGGGGCTGGAGCAGCACCTGGAGGTTCACTGGGCTCAGATCCTGGGGAATGTGAGCTCCAGCTGGAGGGGAGGATGGAAATGGATTCCCTGCCCTGTGTTTGAGGGATTTGGGAAGGTTTTTGGCTTTTCCTGCTGAGTGGGGTGTGATCCATCAGCCCCTGGCACAGCTGGAGCCTGTGCTCCATGTGCTCTCTGCTTCATCCTCCTGGTTTAATTCCACCCTGGAATTCATTAGAAGACAAAGAGAATATTTAGGAAACCTCAGCATTCTTGAAATCAGGGAATGGGATTGTTCTTGGAATATTTTTGTGCTGTTGATGTGGAGAAGGAGTTAGGAGAGGAGATGCTGCTCCATGTGCAGCTGTGTTCCAGGACATTCCCACTGCTTTGTCATGGAATCCTGGAATGGTTTGGGGGTGGGAGGGACCTTAAAGCCCATCCAGGGACATTTTCCACTATTCCAGGTGGCTCCAAGCCCCATCCAGCCTGGCCTTGGACACTTCCAGGGATCCAGGAGCAGCCACAGCTTCTCTGGGAATTCCATCCCAGTCCCTCCTCACCCTCACAGGGAGGAATTCTTTCCCAATATCCCATCTCTCCCTGCCCTCTGGCAGTGGGAAACCATTCTCCCTTGTCCTCACATCCTCTTCCTCCTGCATCCTGGGAGATCCTGGCCCCCCAGTCCCTTTAACCTATGAAATTATTTATTCCCATTTGGACATGTCCTGACTCCTCAAATTCTCCATGCTGGGAAGGGCAGGAGGTGAATCCAGCGCGAGATGGTGACTCCAGGGCTGTTTTCTCCTTAATCTACTTAAATCTCCCTGATTATATTTTCTTTCCTGGCATTCCTGCAGCCTGGTGGGGGGGGTTCCTAGGAGAGCCTCCAGGCCTGTCTAACATTCCTTCTGTTCCCTCCTCACGCAGCGTGGAGCCAAACCCAAAAAGGTGCTGTTTGTCCCTTCCCCGCGCGGGGCCGCATGCCGGGGCCATCGTCATCCTCACTGTCCCCATCCCGCTCCATCCCAGCGCTGCATGGCTGTCCCTGCATGTGCTCCCAGCCAGGGAGGGGACATCACTGCGGGTGGTGTCACATCAGCCTGGAATCCTGGAATGTTTGGGTGGGAAAAGCCTCTGAGGCCAGCGAGTTCGAGCAGTGTCGCCAAGTGTCACATCTGCGGGGTTGGGAAATTCTCCTGGGAATGGGATTGTCCCCCTGCTCTGGGCAGCCTCTTCCAATGTTTTCCAGCTCTTTCCATGAAGGAATTTTCCCACTATCCAGCCTGAATCTCCCCTGGCACAACCTGAGGCCATTCCCCGTTTTATAAACCCATTTTATAAACCCTAAACCCTCCAGTGACTCAGGGACAAGTGGCACCTTCTCGGTGTCCTGTCCCTGGGCTCTGGCTCCTCTTGGGGACACTCAAACCCACCTGGTTTGTGACAATTATTGAAGCCAAAAATCTTTCATGCAAGGATGAGCTGAAACTCCAAAGGTCTTGGCAAAGAATCCTGGAATGGTTTGGGTTGGGATGGACATGAAAGCCCATCTCATTTCACGCCCCCGCCAGGGGCAGGGACACCAAATCATCATTCCCTGCTGGAAATTTGGGGAATTTTTTTTTTCCCCCTGGGAATTTTGCCAAGAGAAAAGCCAAGGTGGGCACTGGAGATGGGGTGGGTGGGGAGAGGTGGTACCTGTGCATCCTTTGGTCCAGATTTGCTTTCCAGCTGCTTCCGTGTCGATTTTTGGGTGGAAAAATGCTCCAAAGAGCTCTGTTTGTCCATGGGAAGTCCAGAGGAGAGGAGCAATGTGGAATCAGCTGAGACCCTGTGGAGACAGGCCAGGAGCAGCTTCCCCCAAGTGTCCCCTCCTTGTGTCCCCCCAGATCCAGGTCTCTTCATGTCCCTGAGGCTTCAGGGTCCGTGTGGATCTCTCATATCGGTCCTTCTGGCTCCAAGGGGCTCTGTTGGGATGAAATTCCTGTTTGGAATGTTGGGTTCTTCCTTCCCTGTCCTTGTTCTGGTGGGTTTGCAGCAGCTCTGTGTCCCCACTGTGTCCCCACTGTCTGCTCGGAATTGTGGCTGGGATTAGGATCGTGGGGGTGGGACAGGCACTGTCCCGAGGATCACGGATCTGTCACTGCCCTGAGGATCTGGAGCTGTGACTGTCACTGTCCTGAGGATCACGGATCTGTCACTGCCCTGAGGATCTGGAGCAATGACTGTCACTGTCCTGGGAATCATGGGGTGTGACTGTCACTGCCCTGAGGATCACAGATCTGTGACTGTCACTGCTCTGAGGATCACAGATCTGTGACTGTCACTGCTCTGAGGATCATGGGTTGTGACTGTCACTATCCTGGGGATCCTGAATCTGTGACTTGTCTTGGTGAATTGGATCTGTGGTTGTCACTGTTCTGGGGGTCATGGATTTGTCACTGTCCTGAGGATCTGGATCTGTCACTGTCCTGGGGATTGTAGTGACAGTCATTCTCCTGAGGATCATGGTTCTGTGGCTGTCACTGTCCTGGCGATCTGGATCTGTCCCTGTCCTGACCCTCGTCCTGGCCGCATGGTCACACCTCACACGGGGATGTCCCCATTGAGGGACAGCCCCGTGCCAGGCCCTGCTGTCCCCTCACAATTTAACCTTTTCAGCCACTAATGACCCCGAGAGCCCCCCCTGCCCCTCGGACAGCTCCTGCCCCACACAGGGATGTGCCATGGGGGTGGGGGGAGCCTGGATAATGAGAGCAATTAGCAGGTAAATCCTTGTTCCGGAGATTACAGCGGCTCCTGTGTGTCAAATATAGACTTTAATCGTGTCCAGAGCTGCTGCCAGATGGGCCCTTTCCCCCCCCGCTGTGGTCCTTCCCCGTTTTTCATGGATTTGGGAGTGGTGTGGCCATTGTGTCTGTTCCCAGGGCTCGGAGCAGAGGCTACTGGGGGTCCTGTCCCTTGGCTGTGACACCCTGTTGGGGTGTCCTTGTTCTTGGAGCAGGAGGTCCAGGCTGTCCTCAGGAGGTGCTGGCCTCTCTCCTGGGCCAGGCTGGCTGGGAAGGACCCCAAAATCTGGTTAAAGAGCAGGAAAAGGGTCTTTCCCAGGCCATTTTTGTTGTGTTGTCTTCATCCCCGTGGCAATGTGTCTGTGGTGGTGACAGACCGATCTCTGGAGTCTGGGTCTCTGGACCCAGGTGGCACTGGGTCACCGATGTCACCTTCCAGGGACACAGAGGTGGCAGGGCTGTGGTGGGAGCAGAGGGCTCCTAGGAATGCAAAGAAAGGCTCCAGCAAAAGCTCTGCCTCGCTTGGGGGTGTCAGGGGGTGCTGCTGGGGTCTGAGCCACTGTGGGATCATGGAATTGTGGAATATTTAGGTTGGAAAAGCCCTCTGAGACCATTGAGTCCAACTTGGCACTGCCAAGGCTGTGTCCCCAAGTGCCACATGCACGGGTGGCACGTGCTGGTGCTGTGACCCTGCTGTTAAATCCTGTCCTGCCACCTCAGGTCACCTGTCCCCTGCAGCTGCAGCCAGTTTGATCCCTGGGATTGTCCTTCAGATGGATCAGGTTTGTCCCCCTCCAGTGACACCCCTGTTCCTTTCATCCTCCCAGCGGCATTCCATGTGCCAGGGCAGGATTCCCGTGGTGTGTCCTGAGGCTGGACCTCCCTCTCTGCTGGGCAGCTGCTCTGATCCCATCCCAGGGTGCCCAGCTTGTGGCTGGGTCAGTGTCTGGGTTGTTATCCCATTGTTATCCCAGTGT